ACAGGCTTGGGCCACCAGCCTCAGGCACTGCTCTCCCCTCCCATCCCATACACACATCCCGTCATCCTCCTGTTTTTCCTCTCCTCCCTCCTCAATCTCTCCTCTCCTCTCCAGCCCCTCCCTCCTCCCTCCTTTCCCCCTCCGTCGCCTCCCTTTTTCTCTCTTCCCCCCTCCTCCTGCACATCCGCACTCCTGCTCCACATCCGCACTCCTGCTGTTGCTCCTCCTCCTCCTCCTCCTCCTCCTCCTCGTCCTCCTCCTCTCCTCCTGCTGCTCCGTCCCTCCTCCGTATGAACAATTCCTCCTCGTCGGACCCCCAGGCGTGTTGGTAGGGCGGCCCGGGAATTTCGCCTGAGACTTCCTCACGCAGCTCATGTTCACCAAGCGGTTTTGGCTTGATACTTCTTCAGGTTGTACGACCAGGAAGGGAAACATTTGTACAGCAGTATATTCGTTGAGGGCGGCTACTGTGCGACTCTCGTTGGACACTTGCTTGAGCTAGGGACTTGGGACCAGAGGGTTTGCTTCAGCGTCGAGGATACATCCTGCGCATATGTTGGTAATCCTCCCTCCTCCGCCTCCTCCTCCTCCTCCTCATGATCATCCTCTTCCTCCTCCTCCTCCTTCTCCTCCACCTCGTCCTCTTCGTCCTCCTCCTCCCTCTCCTCCTCTTCCTCCCCCCTCCTCCTCTCTCCTCCTCCTCCTCCTCCTCCTCTGCCTCCTCCTCCTCTCCTCCTCCTCCTCCTCCTCCTCCTGCCCCTCCTCCTCCTCCTCCTCTCCTCTCCTCCTCCTCTCCTCCTCCTCCTCTCCTTCCTCCTCCTCTCTCTCCCCTCCTCCTATCCCCCCCCCTCCTCCTCCTTCTCTCCTCTCTCCGCCTCCTCCTCCTCACCACTGCAGTGCATCTCAATCCATCATCATCATCATCATCATCATCATCATCATCATCATCATCATCATCATCATCATCATCTCATCATCATCATCATCAGCATCAGCATCTCATCATCATCATCATCATCATCATCATCATCTCATCATCATCATCATCATCATCATCATCATCATCATCATCATCATCATCCCTCATCATCATCATCATCATCATCATCATCATCATCACCACCCATGTTCATCACATCATCATCATCATCACACCACCACCACCACCGCCACCACCACCACCACACCATCATCATCATCATCATCATCATCAACATCATCATCACAATGATCATCATCATCATCATCATCATCATCATCATCATCTCATCATACCCATCATCATCATCGTCATCATCATCATCATCATCATCATCATCATCATCATCATCATCATCGTGATCATCATCAGCATCGCCATCATCATCATCGGCATAATCACCATGATCATCATAATCATCATCATCAGCATCAGCATCATCATCATCAGCATAATCATCCTCATCAGCACCATCACAACCGCCACCACCACCACCATCACCACGTCCATCATCCTCATCATCATCATCATAATCATCATCATCATCATCACCAGCATCATCAGCATCATCAGCAGCATCAGCATCAGCATCATCATCATCATCACCGTCATTATCATCAGCATCATTATCATCAACATCATCATCATCACCATCATCAGCAGCAGCAGTATCAGCATCATCATCATCAGCATCATAATCAGCATCAGCAGCATCAGCGTCATCATCATCAGCATCATCATCAGCATCATCATCAGCATCATCAGGTTTATCATCCTCACCAGCATCAGCATCATCATCATCAGCATCAGCATCAGCACCACCATCATCATCATCATCATCATCATCAGCAGCAGCAGCAGCAGCCTCATCACATCATCGTCATCATCATCAGCAGCAGCATCATCGTCATCAGCAGCATCAGGAGCATCATCACCCTCATCATCATCAGCATCATCAACACCATCCTCATCATCATTATCAGCATCATCAGCATCAGCATCAGCATCATCATCATCATCATCATCATCGTCATCATCATCATCATCATCATCCTCATCATCATCATCATCATCATCATCATCATCGCCATCACCGTCACCAGCATCGTCATCATCATCAGCAGCATCAGCATCAAAATCATCAATATCATCAACATCATCATTATAAGCATCATCCTCACCATCTCGTCATCATCATGATCAGCAGCATCATCATCGCCATCATCAGTATCATCAGCAGCATCATCAGCATCATCTGCATCATAATCATCATCGTCAGCAGACCTCCTCTCGCACTTCGTCCTATGTCCTCCTCCTCACGCGTCTCCCCTCCTCCCCAACTGTCCATGTCATGTTCGTGCTCCTCCTCGTATTCCTCCTCATCCTCCTCTTCCTCATCCTCCTCGTCATCATCATCATCATCATCATCATCATTGTTTCCCGCCTCCCCCTCCTCCTCTTCCTCCTCCTCTTCCCCATCATCCTCCTCCTCCTCCTCCTCCTTCCTCCCTCCCTCCCTCCCTCCTCCTCCTCCTTCCTCCTCCTCCTCCTCTCCTTTTCCTCCGCTCAATCATCTTCTCTCTCTCCTCCTCCTCCTCCTCCCCTCCACCTCCTCCTCAGCCTCCTGCTTCCTCCTCCTCCTCCTCCTCCTCCTCCTCCTCCTCCTCCTACTCTTCATCCTCCCCTCCATCCTCCTCCTCCTCCTCCTCGTCCTCCTCCTCCTCCTCGTCATCCTCTTGCGCCTCCTCTTGCTACTCCTCATTCTCCTCCTGCTTATACCCCCTCCAGTATCCTCCTCTTCCTCCTCCTCATCCTCCTCCTCTCCACCTCATCTTGCTCATAACCATCATCATCATCATCATCAGCATCATCATCATCATCATCATCAGCATCATCATCATCAGCAGCATCATCATCAGCATCATCATCATCAGCATCATCATCGTCATCATAAGCATCATCTGTATCATCATCACCACCACCACCACCATCATCATCATCATCATCCTCATCAGCATTCTAATCATTATCATCATCATCATCAGCAGCAGCATCAGCATCATCTGTCTAATCCTCCTCCACGGATTCCTCCGCCTCCTCTCTCGCCGACTCTCCTCCTTATCATCCTTATATTCCGTGTCCGATTCCTCCTCCTCCTTCTCCTCATCCTTCTCCTCCTCCTCCTCTTCATCATCCTCTTCTTCTTCTCGGTATTGTCATTAGTTGCCTGATGATTCGTATTATCAGTATTACCAGTACCATTACAATTATTAGTGTTTTCTGATTAGCCCGTATGAGTATCAGTGTTCGTCGCATTCTCCATATTCTTATTACTATCAGTAGTAGTAGTAGTAGTAGTAGTAGTAGTAGTAGTAGTAGTAGTAGTAGTAGTAGTAGTAGTAGTGTAATTATAATCAGTGTTATTTGTATGGTTCGCATTAGTCTGACGCTGGTTAGTGGTATTACTATTATTATGAGAAGCATTAGTATTGGTATAATGCTTCGTGTTATCATGTTTCGAAGTATGCTTCTCATGCTTAGTATTACTAGTAGCACTTGTGTTAGTAGTATCAGTATTGCTAGTTGTGTTCCTAGTACCATTAATAATAATTAGTAGTGTTAGTATGAGTAGTACCATTACTACTCTTAGTATGATGAATAGTGTTCTTACTATTAGAGGGAGTCGTATTACTAATACGACTAGTACTATTATTGATTGGTGCTACTACTATGCGTATGATCCATGTTACTACAAATTGAATTAATGTTGGTCGTATTAATATCATAACTCGTATGCTTCTTGATTTTGCTGTATCCGAATTAGTATTCGTATGCGTGTTATTCGTACTGTTCTAATGGTTCGCACTATCATCCGTATTGTCACGATTCGCCTTGGCATAGTATTAATTACAGTATCACTATTGTTAGTCGATTACCAGTATCATTACAATTATTAGTGTTTTCTGATTAGCCCGTATGAGTATCAGTGTTCGTCGCATTCTCCATATTCTTCTTACTATCAGTAGTAGTAGTAGTAGTAGTAGTAGTAGTAGTAGTAGTAGTAGTAGTAGTAGTAGTGTGATTATAATCAGTGTTATTTGTATGGTTCGCATTAGTCTGACGCTGGTTAGTGGTATTACTATTCTTATGAGAAGCATTAGTATTGTTATAATGCGTCGTGTTATCATGTTTCGAAGTATTCTTCTCATGCTTAGTATTACTAGTAGCACTTGTGTTAGTAGTATCAGTATTGCTATTTTTGTTCCTAGTACCATTCATAATAATAATTAGTAGTATTAGCATGAGTAGTACCATTACTATTCTTAGTATGGTGAATAGTGTTCTTACTATTAGAGGGAGTCGTATTACTAATACGACTAGTACTATTATTGATTGGTACTACTACTACTACTATGCGTATGATCCATGTTACTACAAATTGAATTAGTGTTGGTCGTATTAATATCATAACTCGTATGCTTATTGATTTTGCTGTATCCGAAGTATTATTCGTATGCGTATTATTCGTACTGTTCTAATGGTTCGCACTATCATCCGTATTGTCACGATTCGCCTTGGTATAGTATTAATGACAGTATCACTATTGTTAGTCGAATTACGCTTCTGCGTATCAATATTATTAGTGTTCGTGTTATTTTTACTCTTCTGATTGATACTATTAGTTGCGTTATCCTTCTTAATAAGAGTCTCAACAATAGAACTCTTAATACTAGTACTATTACTGTTATTCCTCCCACCCCCTCCTCCGACGACGACGACGACCTCTTCCTCCTCCTCCTCCTCCTCCTCCCCCTCCTCCTCCTTCTGATCTTCCTATTCGTCCCCCACTCCTTCTTTCCTACCCACCCCCCACCCCCCATCCCTCCCTCCATCCCTCCCTCCCCCCCTTCCATCACTCCCTCATCTATCCGTATCCCTCCTCCCCTTCCTTCCAAGTACCATCTCCCTCGACAAGTCTCTAGCCTCCACCACGCATCCCTGCCCACCAACGAGCCCGGAC